CTTTTTATTTTTTTTTTTTGGGGGGGTTTTTTTTTTTTTTTTTTTTTTTAAACCTGTGTTGCTTTCCATTTGTATTTGGGCTTTTGATGTGCTTTAATGTAGTGAGTTTTGGTTTTTTGTCCTGGAAGAATAGGAGTTTATTCTCCTTTTTTTTCATAGCAAGTTTATCTCTCCTTTGTAGTCTGTCACCTTTCCTCTTCCCTTTTTAAGGATTTTGGCTACCTTTACCTCTTGTTTCAGTTTATGGACTGCAAACCCCAAACCATTTTCTTGATGAAATCTGACCTCTCCCCTTGGATTTATTCATTGGCGAAGCATGTGGTTGGGTGCTGGTGGTACCATGGGAAGCCTCCCACGGCAGAGGGGGATGCTGGACCTGTCTCCTCGGGGCTCGGAAATTGGCACCCGGCTCCAAATTTGGCACCATGCCCCCATCCCTCCGTATAGAAATGATCCTCCCTAGCGTGGAATTATTATTAGCTCATCTTATTGGCAAATTTACTGTTGTTGGGCTTTTTTCTATCTTTTCTTTCCCCCTGACCTTCCCACCTTTGTTGACAGCGAATGTTTTAATCTCAAAAATGCCAATAAATGCTAGTCCTGAAAATAATTATTTCAGTAGAGTTTGAGGCTTGAAAAAGAGCTCTTTTCAGTGTTAGCCAAACCTCTCAACAGGGTCTTTTACTTCCATTTTATACTGATAATAGCTATATCTTTAACTTATTTCAGAGTGAGGAAGACCATACTTGGTGTTTGCCCGGGTTTTTTAGCTGCTCAGGTTTTACTTCTTATTGCCAACTGATTTTAGACTTTTTTTTTTTTTAAATGATGGGGAAAATCATTTGCTCTTGTTTGCGCTGCAGATTCGGGGGGTCAAATTCATCTTGGGTGTAAGTGGGCACAGCTTTATGAAAATCCACACAACATTACCCAGCTCTGGATGTGCATGAGTGTGTGCACGGGGGGTGTGTGTGTTTACAAAGTGCTTTGAGCTCCTGTGCCAGACGAGATAGGGAAATACAATTCATTTCTCTTAGGAAATGCTATTTTTGTTCACTCATCAAGGATTTATTTTATTTATTTTACTTATTTTGCAGCTGCGCACACCTGTGTGTGTGCATGCGGAAATTTCAGGTTAGACTTCTGTGTTCAAACACAGACCATGGGGGGGCACGTGGGGCACTTCCATCCTTCAGACCTGGGATGTGTCCCTTTGCCAAGCCGGCCCAGAGCGGTTGGGATGCTTCCGTGTGGTTTTTCCAGGAAAGCCCTCGCAGGAGGATGACTTTTGCTGAAAGCAATAATTGAGGTGGGAAGTACAAAGAGGGGGGAGAAATTCTCTCCTTGGCAAGTACTCCGGGAAGATTGATTTATTGTCACCCCTTTTCTTAGCACGGTTTAATGTTCACTGGAATGACCAGATTCTAAAAAAAAGGGTGTTTTCCAAAGAATAAAATGTATTTTGCACATTTTTTGCTTGTTTTTCCACTGGGTGGCTAAAAACACGGCCTTGCAAGCCCTCTCCATCTGTATTTAAAGATGGGGAAACTGAGGCACGGTCAGCTGTGGGCTCTCTGCTTCTTCCTCTACCATCTGGGGTTGACGGCTGATGCAAATGGTGCAGGATCAGGTTGTAAAATTACATGTTAGGTGACATGAGAGGGCCCCTAGGTGAGCTGAGGTCTGGGCTAGAGACTCCTGACTTCCCATCCCATACTTGAATTGGGATACGGTCCCTATCACTTCTGGCAGCAAGAATGGGTACATTTATTTGGTTTTTGGTTGGTGTTGCTAGCAGTTTCGCTGCGTACTTGAACGCAAAGTGTGGTTTTCTGGGTTACCTCTGCAGTGAGCTCTCTGCTGGTTCTGCCCTACTTCTGCCCTGCGGGAAGGAGAGCAAGAGGCAGGGAGGGGAGCAGGGAGCTGGAGTGCCCCCATTACTGCTGCTGGGCTGGAGAGCCGAGGCGCTGCACTTGCACTCAGAGCACTGGGATGCGGACTGCCTGTTGGGGTACCCTTGGGAAAGGAAGAAAAGTCCCATTGATGGGGACTGAGCCCCGCTGGTCCAACCTGGGATGAGCATCCCCTTTTGGATGAGCATCTCCTTCCCTGAGTTAAGCCCCGGGTGCGACTCAGCCTTTCCTCTCCCCTTTGTGTCTCCTGCAGTGCTGAGCATCCGGGGAGCGCAGGAAGAGGAGCCCACGGACCCCCAGCTGATGCGGTTAGACAACATGCTCCTGGCCGAGGGGGTAGCGGGCCCTGAAAAAGGAGGTGGCTCAGCTGCCGCTGCTGCCGCTGCCGCCGCATCAGGAGGAGCCGGCTCTGACAACTCGGTGGAGCATTCCGACTACAGAGCCAAACTCTCCCAGATCCGGCAGATCTACCACACGGAGCTGGAGAAGTACGAGCAGGTAACAGGCTCCTTCACGACGGAGGGCAGGGCTGCCCAGGGGTGGTCATCGGGGATGGTGGGAGCAGGAGCCGGAGAGCCGCCGTCCGGTGCCGGCACCGCAGCGTGGATGTGTGCAGCGTGGATGTGCACAGCCTGGATCACTACTGACATCTATTGTTAGGAGTGTATGGGCAAATGCAAGCTGTTGCTTGGTATTGGAGTGAAAATGTGCTTTTTTAGGGTTGAGAGGGCTGGGTTTTTGCGCTGGGATGTGGCGTGAGAATAGGCTTGGCATGGGTTGCCCCTTTGATTTTCACTTTTCACTCCTCCCCTAATATCTTTCCAAAAATTGGCCCTATGAAGGGGGAGTCCTCTTTGAGGCGCTGGCCTCGGTGCAGGCAGTTTTCCAAGCAAGGCTTGAATCAAAATCTTCCTTGAATATTTTTTCTGCTTGAAAAGTTCTTTTTCCAGAAAAAAAAAAGTGTCCTTTTTCTTGTGGAAAATGATTCTTAGAAAAAAGAAAAACTATTTGAGTCATGAATGCAGCTATTGGTAACACTGACAATTGCGTGAAAAGCTTCGCAGGCCAATGCTCAAAACCGGTTTCTTTCAAACGCTTCCAGATGTCTTGCAGACCTCTCTTCGCTGCCACATGGCTTACCCTTGCGATGAATGTGGTTTCTATCCTGAGGTTGTGGTTTATGGAGTGCGAGCAAGAAAGCATCCCTCCTTTTTGGGTGCAGGATGGGCTCTGCGGCCAGGGGCTGGGCGGGGTTTCAGGTCTCTGATTTAACACCGTCTCTGCTGATGTGACGGGGCTGTGAGCGGCTGCCAGTGCCAGGGTCTGTATGGGTGAGCCAGCCCGGCCCCCATTTTACCCAGCTAACTGGATGCATGGTGGGGCTGGGGGATGTCTTGCCCCTTCAGGTGCCACATTGGCCAAGCTGAGGCTGCTGGGCAGCATCTTCAGACCTACACCCGGGGGTGGTGTGGAGCTAACTTAGATGGGTGCCCCTGGGTTGGAGCTGGAGTCAGGGTGGCCAGGCAGGGCTCTGGTGTTGGAGAAGCCGAGCATGGTGACACCGTGAAAGGTGTTTTGGCAGAGCATTAGAGGAGGAGGCGTGGCAGGGTGCAGGGAGCAGGCAGGGGCAGGTTGGAAGGATGTCCTTTGGTGCCTGTCCTCAGCCGTTGCTGTCACTCCCTTGAGGCACGGATGCGGGGTGATGCGGCATGAGGGAGCCTCAGCCATCTCACGTGGGTAGGAGTGGAGAGCACGTCAGGGCTCATCTTTCAGCTCCCAGGCTGAAGAGGGGGAGAGAGACCCCGTGTCCTCTGCCACCCAAGCCCAAGGGAGAGACCCATGAAGGGCAGAGCCAGCAAGGACCCTTCTCCAAGGGCACAGCCAGGGACAGACTTCAGGGAAGGAAACCCCTTCTGCGGGGGGTTTTGTTTGTTTGCTTTTCTGGTTTTGTTTCTGCAACATTCTTGCTCCCCAAAGGGGCACCCAGGTGAGAGAAGCCTTTACCCCAGCCCCGTAGTGTGAGATGGGCCACCACATCTTTCCTTCTCACAACCCACTGACGGGGTTGGTTTTGCCACCGAGTTGCTTTGCAAAATGGCTGTGCCGGGCCACATCTCCAGTATTGTCACCTGCAGTCCTGCAAAACTAGGGTTCAGGGTTTCTCAACCTCCGTCCCCCTCTCTCCAGTCCCTTTGTTGGTGGCTGGGGGAGCTCAGCGCTTGGCTTCACACGGCGTTTGGCTGCTGCTGTGACAGCACGGCGCTTGCCTGCAATTTTGCCTGCAATGCTCTTTATTTCACGCCAAGAGGAGACGAGCTGAAATTGCTTGGGCATCTGGGAGCAAAGAGGCACCCAGCTGAGAGCTCTCGTAGCCAGCACTCACGCTGGGAGTTGGGAGCTGTCAGCTGAAGCTGGTGATGGGCAACTGGAGGAACTCTGCTGGCCTCGAGGATGTCTCCTTGTTGGGTCTGAGCCGTAGGTGGGGATTCAGCTTGGAAGGGTGGGATGGGAGATAGTAAGTCAAGCCCATGTCGCCAGTCCACCAAATCAGTGTTTCTTTCCCCTGCTAGCCCCTTTTTCCCCATCATGGGGTGGCAACTGGGGGCACTGTCCCCAGAGCAGCTGCCTGTGTCCCAGGAGCACCAAAGGCTTCTCGAGCCATCAGGGTCTGAGTGCTGCTCTCAACCTGGTTTTTGGGGCTTGGATCCCAGACTGGTTCTGGGAATTGGAGGATCCTGTCATGCCTGCAAGGTGCTTGTGGGGGTGGAGGAGAGTGCAATGAAGTGGCCTTCATCTGGCCTCAAAATCCCTCCCTTGTCCCCCCTGACTCCTCTCACTGTCCTGTCCTCACAGCACAGCATGGGGGACAGCAGGAGCAGACAGGCAGTGCTGTGCCAGCAGCAAACTAATTGGGATTATTACCTGCTTAGCCTTACTTGTCAGGGCTTCTGCCTCACTCAGGCTTTAATTATTGTTGTTATTTACTTCTTATCTGATGTGCTAAGAGCACGGAGCAGGGCCGTGTCTCTCTGGGAGCTGCTCCTGTGAAGCACAAGGGGCTCTGCAGGACACGTGGTGCTGGGGTCCAGCTGGGGCAGTGGGAGGAGGGACAGAGGGTCAAAAGGTTTATGGTCCTCTTCAGATACATCTATAGCTCCTCCAGTCCCATCCAGAAAAACAGTGTAAGGGCTGGGACTTCTTCATGCTTCACATGAGTCCTTAGGGCTTCACCTGCCCCAGCTCCATCCATGATCCCTGAGAGCAAAGAAATTGGCTCCTGCCTTTCTCTCTCTCTTTGCTGGGAGTCTCTCAGGCCCTCTGCTTGGCAGACTAGAGAAATTTATCTCTCCCACAAGAACCAGCACACCCTTGCTCTGGGTCTGCCCTAAAAAAACCCAGCCATTGAAGCCTCTGCGTGCATCTCTTTAGCAGCATTGCCTCTGTACTGTCCTTGACGCCATCGAATGACCTTCCGATCCTGGGGTTTCTTTTGCTTTTCTTGCCATCCCAGGCATGCAACGAATTCACCACCCACGTGATGAACCTGCTGCGTGAGCAGAGCCGGACCCGACCTATCTCGCCGAAGGAGATAGAGCGGATGGTGAGCATCATCCACCGCAAGTTCAGCTCCATCCAGATGCAGTTGAAGCAAAGCACGTGTGAAGCCGTCATGATCTTGCGCTCCCGATTTCTGGACGCACGGTGAGTTCACCCCCTCAAACCTGTCTCCCCACCCAACATGCAGTATTGTTCAGGCCTGAGAGAGGTGTTTTGAGGTTCTGGAGTGAATCCAAGTCCATCTGAAGGGCACTGTCTCCTGGTCTTGAGCTGCAGAGGCTATTTACCTTCCTTACCCGTTAGTTGTGTGTGGCTCAGCAAGGGAGGGGACAGCAATTCAAGACATCCAGCCTCTGTCTCGGGGAGGCTTCCAGCTGTACCTTGAGAATTGCACATTGCTGGCTTTGCTCTGGCAGAAGGAAATTCTGTGGCATATTCCAGCAAACCTCTGTGGTAAAAATGTGCGCTTCAGTTGGGGATGAAAGCTAATCCTCCAGCCCGTCCTGTCCCCTCTAGGTTCTTATTCTTTTCCTTCTGTTTCCATTGTCCTAGATTTTCAGGGTGCTGTAGGTATATTTCACTCCCCAAGCTGGTTACGTGCAGGCTGTGGCTTGGGATGGGGAGGAGAGGCAGCTACACTGGGGTACGAGGGAAGAAGTAGCAGACAGATAGCGCCCAGCTATAAATGGAACAAATTTCCTCAAGGATAATATCCATCGCTGCTTTCTCAGCACAGATCTTTGCAGAGAGTAGCAGTGACATCTTTGGCCAGGGCAGCCAGGTGTCAGGAGTCACCTTCCCAGGTGGAGGAGCTGAGTGCCAGTTTTAAGACTCTTCTGTGAGCTGGAGGATGCAGTGATAATTTGAGAAGGAGACTTAACTTGCTTTGGAAGGTGCTGAGAGAGGAGTCGCCAGCAAGGTGCAGATGAGCAGCTTCCTGGCCATGAGTCTATTGCACCTCATGCTGCCAGGAGCAAGGAGCAGGGGAAGGAGGGAGGGAAGTGGGGAAAGTCAGAGTATCTAAAATTGCATTCCTATTTCTGGATCCCTGGCACTGATTCCCTTTCCTTTTCCTTCTGTTTTCCCCTCTTTCTTCATGCTAAGGCGGAAGAGACGAAACTTCAACAAGCAGGCTACGGAAATCCTGAATGAATATTTCTATTCCCATCTCAGCAACCCTTACCCCAGTGAGGAAGCCAAAGAAGAGCTAGCCAAGAAATGCGGCATCACAGTCTCACAGGTGAGAGAGCCCAGAAATACAGCAAAGACAGCTGCTGCTAATGGGAAACCTTAGCATGGTGAAGGGCACTCAGTCAAGTCAGTCATGTCCCAATGTTGAGCATTTAATTACTAAATGAGTTTAGCACAAGTTAGTGTAAGTGGATGGGAGAGCAGACAGCAGACTTGCAGATTGAAGCCATGGATGGAAAAGGAGAGTTTGGGAGAGGATTTAGAAGGGATGAAGACTTCATGGAGCAATGGCTGTGCGTGCAACCAAGGTGTTAACAGCAGAGAAATTATGTGGCGTGACCCACAGAGGCAAAGTCTTCTCCTCAGTGAATTAGTGCTGAGCTGGCTTGCAAGAAGAGCTCATTTGAGCTGTAAGTCCATTCTTCAAGCCAAGGGATTCGAAGGCAGTAGGAAGAGTTGCACAGATTTTGCTCAGTAAGGTAGAATGGACAAGGTCCTGGTGGGAAGGGTTTGGGTCAGACAGGCTAATGGTTATAGTTTGTGCTCAAGGAGGGTGGGCTTTCTCAGGGTCATTTCTCTCTGTCATTACTCTTGTGCTGCAGAACATGACATCTCCCTGACTTGCTTATCCCTCAAAGAAAGGTGGTCAATAAAGACAAATTGAATTATTTCCATACATTCAAGGCAGCCACATAGCTCCTGGAGTCTGTAGCTTTGACCTGGAGGCTGCTGGGATTTGTGAGGAGTGCAGTCAGTCCTTGAAGTGTTCAACCATACGTTGCTCAGGCCTGTCCTTTATTTCCTCTCTTTTTGGAGCAAGCTGCGTGATTGAAAGCCAGTCTATATGGCCTCTGGTAGTCTTGTCCTCATGTGAGCTTAGTGCTCCCTCTAGGCTCCCATTGCATTCCCCATCTTGGGCCACTTCCCAGCCCCAGGCACATGCCTGTTCATCACTTGAGTAAACTGAAGACAGCAGTAGCATCTGGTGTCCTTGTGAGAGCATGTCTGCCTTCAGCAGGAGCGACAGCATCCAAGGGTAGGTGTCATCACCGTGTTGAATGCCTGCTGAGCGACTCCGATTGCATCCCCTGGGTCAGAAGACCCAAACATTGATTCTGCCCAGAGTTACCTACGAGAGACAGCCCATATTGGCTTAAGTAAAACTACAGCTGTCCTGATGCTTCCCTTCTCACTTTTAATTCATCTGTTCGCACTTACAACTTCTCCCTCGCAGAGAGAAAATGCCCAGGAGAAATGCTGCACTTAGGATATTTTTTGACCGTGCTGTATCAAGGCTGCATTGTGTCTGTCTCCAGGATCTCCCTCCCTTCTTCGTCCAAAGAAGGTAGAAACAAACACACATCCAAGTCTCTGTTTTTTGCTGAGGCTAAGTGGGAACATGGGACAGCATGAATCTGTGCAAGTCATGAGCAGAGTTCACCTGAACTCAAAGGCTGACTGGGGTTGGCAGGTTTTTTGCTTCGCAAGTTTTAAGATGAAGATGGATTGTGGTGGCCATTTATTCTGACTTCCTTCCCTGTGGTGCTCAGTGGAGTTCACCCACCAGCTACAGCGTTTGAAGCCAGAATAGCTGTTGAGAGATCGCCAGGTGGGAAGATCACGAAGGAGCACATTGTCATTAATGAGAAAGCTGGACCAAGAAGTGGAATGGAGCTCCTCACAAACAGCACCTGCTCCTGGTGCCATCAAAATATTCGCTCCCAGATCTGGGTTGGGTGCTGATCTGAGTTGCTACCTTTTGCCTCCCGGGAGTCTCTGCAGGTTATATTTTCTTTTTCCAGCTCTGCAGCAGTGCAGGATTGAATACGTGCAGTTCAGTAGCAGGTGAATTGGTGGATGAAGCCACTTCTGTATAGAAGCTGCTGAATCTCTACGAGGACTGAAGATAGAAAACACCATAGGAATAAAAGCATATGGGTTTCAGTTATCAACACCCAAGCCAAAACAACTTCCCTAAGATGAGGAAAAAATTATGAGCTTCCCAGGATGAACAGTATTTCCCAGTATTGTCTTCTGTGTCTTGCTGCTTGGGCAGTCCATTTGGGAGGGGGAGCACTGATGTACTTGCTCACCAGCAAGCAAAGGGAGAATGTCCTTGGAGTCCCACCGAAGAGGTGATTTGCTAGCTCAAGATTGCAGCTCCAAGTGATCCTAGGAGTGTTGGAGCTCTTCTGGGAGAGCTGCAGCATCCTCTGGCATTTGCTCATCCTCTTCATCCTGATGAGCTTTCTCAAATAAGGTCAGTAGCGGCTGGAAGTTGTTTTCTGCTTAGAGACCTGCACATAGGAAGACATTCCCCTGATTCTCTGTGTTCAGTGTTGTCAAAGAAGCAGCTGAGAGCTGCTTCCCAAACTGTAGGTTGAATACTTCCCACATCTTCTCTGACATTGTTCGGTGTGACATAGTGCCCACAAGTGAAGAGGGTTATCATCAGCAGGGTACTGAACGGGATTTTGGGAATGCTGAGTTCATGGTGGTTCAGGAGGTACCCTGACATCTTCCCTGGGAAGCAGTTCTGGCCAGATACCACAGCCTGGTTTCACAGACTTCAGAGTTACCCTATCACTGTGCTGAACCTCTGACATGCAAACTTTGGGGTATTTATCCAGACACCTGTCAGTTTGTCCAAGCAACCTTTCTGCCAAGCATTCATACTACTGATCCCAGGATACCACCCTGACAGTCTGCGAGGATTACTGCTCGGACATCTCCTTGGGGCTTTCTGAGGTTAATGCGTTGCACTGCTGCAGGCACAGGGAAACAGCTTTCGCCAGGGCTGGCATGAGCAGAGCTGCACCGCTTCATTCTGCCTTCAGATCTGGCCCATCATTTTCAGCCATCCCCATGACTTCTGAAGAAGTTCAGCCTGCTTCTTTATTTTTTTTAAATAAATCCACTAGCCTCATTTAGCACACTTCTATCCACTTAGACACATCAGGCCCATACTGGTCTCTGGGCAAACACAGTGGAAACATCTCCTTCCCCTTTCCAAAGGACACACTTGTTCCCTGGGACCAAAGTTAGGTCTTACAATGAGCCCTGTGCTCCCTGTCCAGCCTTCCCCTGAAGCTCCTGGTTTATGTAGTGGCCCATGGTAAACCATACAAAGCCAAGTTTAGCTGGGTGAAAAGCATCCAATTCCGGCCTTTTGCACTGATTCCACTCAGGTGGATCAAAAGCAGAGCTTCAGTGATATCAAGGCAATTTTGTGTGTCAGCCAGGCCCAAGTAAATTCGTTGGGCGTTTTCCCTGAAAGCCACACTTGCTTCTCCAGGGGAGGAGAAGGGGCATCTGGGAATCGGGGCATCTGTCCCTGTCAAAGGGACACCGAGGAGGGGGCAAATAAAAAGTTCCAAAATGACACATACTCATTTTCAGATTGTGTGATTTCAGGGTCATTTCACTTTCCCAGTTTTTTTTAAACCCATGTGATATTTTTGTGGGGTGGGTCTAGTGGTTCATGTGGAGCATCCCCTTAGTGGACGTCCCATCCATAGAGGAACCAGATGCATCCACACAAACCTGGCCCTCCCAAGGGGGTCCCACCACCTTTCCTGGGCTTGGTCTGGCACGCGCAGTTAGAAGGTCTTCCTTCCACAGCTAGGAAACGGGAGGGGGGAAGAATATGCACTGCTTAACCTGAACTAATCCACCTTCCTCATCCAGCTGCAATCTCCAGAGTCGAAACGTTAATGTCTTTGTCTTCTCTTAAACTCGCTCTAGGTATCAAACTGGTTTGGAAATAAGAGAATCCGGTACAAGAAGAACATAGGTAAATTTCAAGAGGAAGCCAATATTTATGCTGCCAAAACGGCTGTCACGGCTACCAATGTGTCAGCCCATGGAAGCCAGGCTAACTCACCCTCAACTCCCAATTCAGCTGGTTAGTTTTTTGGTTTTTTTTATTTTGGGTCATTAGTGTTCAGTTTTTTGTTCGTTTTCCCCCTTCCCTCTAATCTCTTTCTCTTTTTCTCATTTTGGTTATTTCAGTTTTTTATTTTCTAGTTTTGGTTGGCTCACTTTTGTGGTCTTTAAAAAAAGAGAGATGGGTTTGGGTTTTGGGGTTATTTTGTGGGGGTACTTTGTTTTCTTTGCCTTTTTTTTGTTTGGTTTTTCCCTCTTTTCTCTTGTCTTCTCTTTTTTTTCTCTTCCCTTTCCCTGTTCTGTTTTTTGTTGGAAAAGCAATGTGATCAGACCTTGTGACTGATGGTGCCACGTTGGGGGTTATATGCATGAATGGTAAATACAAAACCAGAAAAATTATCTGGAAAAAGATTGCTGGGATTGCTTGCACTTCGGGAGGAGAAAAAAAGTGGAAAAAAAGTCCTTGCATAATGGTTCTGTTTCACTGGGGCTGAAAGCATGAGTGGCCCTAATGGATAAACCCCAACGTTTCTGGGATGTCCTAACTCATGCCATTTTGGGGGTTGTTTTGGGTAGATTTTTATACTTTGATTTTCTTTCTGTTGTGATTACCTTTGATTGCTTACATGACAGTATCTGGATCACCTGCAAGAGTGTGCTCTGTGTGAATTTTATTTTCCGTTTGTGTCAGTGCGATCCAGGGAAATCCATGGGTCGTTCCCTTCCCTTTCCCACTTTCCTGCCCATTTGCTGTGGTTTGCATTTGTTTGTTTTGAGGGTCAAAGGCACAGAGCACTTTGCCCAGATTTCAACTCCTCCGCTAGAGAACAATGCTTAGTTCATGCGTGGTACCTGCCACGAGGACGGCCGACCCACAAATGATCCCAGGCTGTGGTCGGCTGGTTGTGCTCCGCTCCCAAGAGCAATGGAAAATTAGGACTTGATTAAAAGGAGGAAAAAAAGGGATCTTGATGGGTGCCATGTACTTCATTCTCCATACAAATATCTGTGTGCCTCTTTTCTTTTTAGGGGTGGGAGGGAGAGTGGGAACGTGTCACTCTTGTGCCTTTGAGCTCAGTGTCTGCTCATGGTACCCTTTCAGTGGGGCATGATGCTTGCTATTATCAGGTAGGCTACTAAAAGGAAGGAAACGTTGTGGGAGCAAAGGGGATGGTGAGCAGCAGGAGAAGCTGGATGTTTAATAGACCGCCGGTGGTACCCCACACTGGTTGCTATCAGGATGTGCTTCTGTAGTGAGCGCAACCCAACCTGTAACAGGTATCAGAGGAATCACACCCCAGAAACACCCCCAGATCTGGAGGATTTGGGTGGAAGGTGGAGAAAGCAGAGCCAAGGGTCAAACAAGGGGAGAATCCACCGGTGTGGATCTATAGCTGATCTCCCAAACCAACCCCCCAGTGCGAGGGCAAAGGCAGTCCGTTATCCGCGAGCTAATGTGGTAAGCAAGTGGTTGATCGGTCTGTGCTGGGGAGCTCGTCCACACCTCGCAGGGACTCGTGTAGACGGCTTGCACAGAAGCAAGTGGTAGAAGGCTTATTCAGTTGGGCAGCAGAGAGAAGTCCCTGCGCACAACCCCTTAGTTTCCAGGAGACATGTTACTTGCTAGGGGTTTGCCCCCCAGAGCCACGTAGAGCAGAGATGTTGCAGCTTTTGATTGCAGGTCAGAAATACTGCTGGAAGGCATCTCTCCCTCCTCGCCCAGGGCTGCCTGTGAGCAAGCTGTGCTGCCTGTTCTGGCTCGGCTGAGGTGCTCAGAGGGCTCAGGTGGATGCGGCAGAATTCTGCAGGGACAGATGGTTTGCAGGAGTTTTGTTTGATTCTTTTCTTTTTGGTTTTTTTTTTCCCTTTTCCTTCCATTGTTTTAACTGCTGTTAGCTTCAGTTTTAAAAATGTCATCCTTTCCAAACAGCTCACTCAAAATACCTGGTCAGGTGGAGTCTCTTGACATTGAAACTCCCATGTAGAAAAGGCTGGAGGGTAGAGAGCAGAATTGCGTGTGTTGAGGGAGATGCCTACTGCCTGTGATGCTGTCCTGCAGTCCACATCAGCTTGGACCGAAGAGACACAGCTTTCCTTCTTTTCCTCTTTCTTCAAATGGAGTCAGATCTAAAGGTCTGGAATAGCAAGGGAAGAGCTTCAAATTGCTTAAACGGGTTTGGATCTGGCCTGCATGTAGTGGAATAGGCATTTCCCCAGTGCCTGCCCAGTTAAATAGTGCTCCGGTGCGAGGCTGCTTCTTCGCCTTCCCCACAGGCAGTAACACGGCTGTTTCAAAGATAAATTGGCCGGTACCCTGCAGTAAACAGCTAAGATAATCCCTGGGTAACACTCCACTTTCAAGGAAGGACAAACAGTCTTGTTATTAACGTGTAAGACTTGAGCTCCTGGGTCCTCTTTCTGGCTCGCTTGTCTGTACTCCAGAAACATTGACCTCTTTTCACGTGCCTAATGTGGCAGCGGTGCTAAAGCAGCACATCAGTGCGAGGGGAGCTCGCAGGCCATGGAGATCTTTCTTCTGCTAGAAGCAAAGTGTTTCTAACCTGGCCCAGATCCCACCACCCTCCCTGTATGCTGCAGCAGTGGCAGAGCAGCAGGGAGTCCTGCTGTCAGCACCGCAATAGTCTCTGTGTCATCTTGCAGAGATAGTGGTTTTGGATGTCCTTGTAGTCATCTCCTGAGAAGACAGCTGGAAGGGCCTCAGGATTTTGTCTCCAACAGTGGCATCCCAGGTTGAGATCTCCCCAGCTGAGCCATGCGGATGTAACAGCTCAGTCAAGCATCCCTGCATTGCCACATTGTGGGGCAAAGGCACATCCTGAGAACATATGAAGTTGTGTGACCTCCCCTGCTTCAGGTTGTCCTGGAGGTGCTAGCAGCAAGAAGCACACCTGTACACGCTAGATCTGAAATAACCTGTCTGTGAAAGATTTGGAGGATGGTGTCACGGGCCATGAGCCATCCAGATGTGCTGAATTGCCCTGGGAGGAATGTCAGAAGTGGATGAAGAAGTGAAGGACTAAGATGGATGATGCCTCTCCTTTTATACCATGGACTTTTTTCTGTTTTCAGATCATTGAAACTGAGACTTTGGTGAGGAAGGAGCCTGAACAAAGGCTGGATTTGTGGAGAATTTTTAGGACCTTCTAGTTTAATTACATTGTAGGGCATGTGGAAAGGAAGAGAGTAGGCAGAGGATAGGTCATGAGAAAGAAGCGACCAGCAATGTAGTCCCTGGAGGGCCATGATATTGGAAGAGGAGGTGGAACTGGGTGCGATGGGACCTGGGACAGGAGCTAAATTCATTTCTGCTGTGGCTACGCAGACCCATCTGTTCTCTGCACTGATGCCCATGTTACTGGAGATCGGTGAATGGCTACAGTCAGTCAAAGAGATTGGCCACACATTGACAAGGGCAAGGATTGCATCTGTCTAGCCATCTGGCACGTTCAAAGCAGGGTCCCCCGTCCTCAGTCACCCAGGCCTGAATGTCAAACACCTTTTCATCCTGAATATGCACAGTTGGGCTTTATCAGCCAGATGTTCAAATAAGCTGAGATGTCTGGCTCATTTGGGCTAACAACTCCCCATCCTCACTTTGATTGCCTGGACAATCTCAGCACAAAAACCACATGGCAAATGAAAGCTATTTTATGTGGGCAGACCCTTTTGCCAACCAGACTCCTCAAGGGCCACACACAGGTGATGACATCCAGTGAAATCTTCCATGCAGAGCAGCCAAAATTGTCCTGAGCTGGTTTTTTCCTGCTCACCCTTTTGTTTTGTAAAAATCTTCTTTTAAAGCTGCTAATGGAGGGGATCATGCTGTCTGGAAATGTACTTCATGAGGCACAGGCCTGATTGCTATATCTTCTCTCTTTGCCTTCCTCCATTTGTGGCAATCACTTGTCCAGAGCGCAGCACTGGAGAGGATCCTGCTTCAGCAGAGAGGCTGTTCTGATCATGGTCTCACTGTCTTGAGTGTTGGTTGGCAAGTGAAAAAGAACAAATGTCCTGGTGGGTGAGCCCAGGCTTTTAGACCTGCTATCAAACTCGGTGGCTTTGTCCAGCTGAGGAGCTACATGGTCCATCAAGTTTTTCCATCATCTTTGGCCATGGTAGAAACACAAGGAAAAGTTACAGGGGGGTTAAATTCTGTGCTCTCAATGCATATATATCATTGCCACTGACTTCAGCTAGGAGTCTTGTATATGTGACCAAAGTTGACTTCAGTGGTTCAGTGTGCTGGATCTCTGTCTCATTGGTGGTAGGTGGTATGAGGAAGCAGATGAGGATGGCTTGATTCCAGCTCCAATGAACACCATTACCATGTTTGTTTATTCTTGATGCTGTTTGAATTGTCGGATACTTTAGAGAAAAGGACTTGTTAGAGGTCCTGGAAAATTTGAGGTGGAAGTGGAGACTGTCAAAACGTTAGAGAAGACATTAGAGAAGCTGGAGAAGCAGCTCTCTGAAGAGCTGGAGAAGTGGTGCAAGAAATACCAGCAGTCAAGCTTGTGAAGATTTTTAAATTGAAGGCAAACTTGAAGTGGGTTTTGTTCATCAGAAATGTTAGGGGTAGAAGAGATCTCTTTGCAGGCATTGTTTTGATGTAGGCTTTCACCCAGCGGCAAGAGCTGAGTGCCATGGCTTGTTTAAACATTTCCACCACTCTTTCTGAAGCTGGTGATGCCCTGATAGAAACTCAACAATAAGGAATAGTGTTGATAGGTCTTGGGTTTGATAAGATGTCTGGATGCTGAAGATGAACCACTGTTCCACACTGCTACAAGTCATGAAAAGTGTTGGTTTTTCTGGTGGTTTTTATTGTCTACACACAATAGCATCAAGGGACTTCCATGCCAAGATAAGAACCCTTTCCTCCTGGGTTCACAAGCTCAAAGATGGTTGCTACTTCTCAGTTCTTGAGAAGCCCCAGATCAAATTATGACCACTGAAAACCTTTGGTGTGTTTATAATGGAGCCTTTCAGAGGGACAGATTAGATTTATGATGGAGCCTCCTCTAGTGGAAGGATTTGACTTGTATTACTGGATCTTGTCTCCATGGAGGATACCAGAGTCTTAATTTTCAGGGCTCTTCACCTTCCTGCCCGCTCTCCCACCCCAGTCCATCAGCCCCTCTTAGCCTTGTCTCTGAGAGTTTGGGCCATCGTAATTTTCATACATGGCTAATACGTAGACAGCGGAGTGCTGATGCAGCAGAGCAGCAGCACATAGGGCTCTGCAATTATGCCTCTGATACAAATGCATCCATACATGCAGGGCCATTGGTATGTGCATATTTATCTTTGCATCCACAACAGCGGCAAGACATATTTACCATTTAGATATGCACATATATTGTAAAAATACCCTGTGCCAATAGCAGCGTATATCTTGTAAGTGACATCTTCAGCGCTCCTCATGATTTCCAAGACACCAGCGCTCTTCAGAACTAGAGTTTGTGGCTGTTTGCTTATTTTTATTTCCTCCCTCCCAGTCTCAATTTTACGGCCAGGTTTGTTAAGTTTCAGTAAAATATCAATTAAGTTTATGGCATTTTTATTTGTTATTATTGTTATAATTTTCTTTTGGTAGGGCAAGGTGGGATGAAATGTTGCTCTGCTGGAGGCAGAGCAATAGCAGTGCCCTGTCAGGTGCTCAGGGATTCCCGAGTTCTGTTCCCAGCTCTGCCACTGATTATTTGTGTGATCTCAAAGGTTTCTGCTCACCTTAAAAGAATAGGAGAATATTCTCTGCTTCTTGTGAGTGGTAGCTGCAAAGTTCTTAGGTTCTCAGCCACTGCAGGAGTACGAAGCCACATTCCTGCCCTGTGCTTTTCGTGCCAGTGGTCAAAGCGATCATTCAGAAAACCTGGTAGGAAGCATCTTCGTGTATGTGAAAAGTATCCATCTTCATGCTTAAAGTTGAGCAGTGTCAGGCTGGGCTATCCTCAGTCTGCCAGCTCATTTCCCTAGGTTTTTTGCCTTTAAAATAACAAGTAACCTGAGAGGTCGGGAAGTGACAGGAGCCCTTCACCAGCTGAGCAGAGTAGGTGATGGTTACAGCTGCCTTCTGACTAGTCCCGGTTACACTGTGCTGTGGGATTGCTCTCTGAAACAGGTTGGGCAGGGTTGACAGTGAGCACAGACAATGAGCTATTCCTGGCTCTGCTCTTTTCAGGCACTGGTGGGAGGGTCCTGATCCAAGACTCACTGAGCTCAAGATGAGTCTTTCTCTTGACTGTCTTGGATGTTGTATCTAGCAATGATGTTTCTGCCTTCCTTCAATTCTGAGAATTGACAGCACCTGACAAAAGAGCCAGTTTCAAAGAGAGCAGCAGAGAGTTTAGTGAACATGAAGTCTCCAGCATAGACCTCCCACCTGCTCCCTGACCTTTCTTGGAGGTGGCTTCCTTCAGAGGAGCCTTCCTGGTCCACCTCCAGGGCAGAGCTGGGGTCTGTCCAGAGTGTTTCTTCGCTCTCCAGCAAAGGGAGGGGGATTGCCAGGCGTTTCTCAGAGTGTACGCATGAGCCGTAGTTGGGCAATTCCACCAGGACTGTGGTTGCCAGTCTTCCAAGTTGGAAGTGGCAGTGGAGATGATGAGAGTGTATTTGGGGTTGGAGCTGAAAGCATAGCTGACCTGGGCCCCTGAAGTCTCTCCTTTCCAAGGCTAACGTCATGTATATAACCAAACCTTGCACGTTGAGCTGTCTCACACTTAACGCGCTGATCTGCACGATAAGTTCTGAAATAATCCCATAAAACTTTTTGTTTATTTTTAACCCCCTTCCCTCCTCCCCCGCCTTCCAGTTACATGATGGGTTTGCTTCTCCTGTTCAGTAGTTGAGGAGGTGCTCAGATATCTTGAAGCTGGAAGCAGAAAGCCTTGTTTCTGCAAAGGCGGGATTATTTTTTTTTTCTTTTCATTTGTTTTTTTTTTTTCCCTGATCCCACCCAGTTGTCTTCAAGTTATCATTTTTTAGCGTAACGTTGGCGACTGGTGCATGCGGTGGGGAATTTGCTTACAGAGCTCGTTCTTCTGGGGCAGCTGGCCCAGGAGGGCTGTGACACCCTTGCGTTCTCTCATGGCCCATCACGATGAAAGACCTTGCTGACGTGATGGGTACTGGGAGGCTAGCCCAGGTGCCTTCACGTTTTCATGAGCCTTTGCTCCTGGTGCGCTGCAGTTCCCACCAGTGATGGGTTCCTGATGTCCTGAAGGCACACCCCATGCACCGCTCCCTCGCAGAGCTCCCCGTGGCTCAGCGGGAGCTCCAGACGTGGAACTGGATGGTGTCTGGATGTGCTCACCCTGCAGAGAGCAGCGCAGTATAGACTTACCCATGCTGATCTGAGCTTCTTGGAAACAGCAGTAAGTGTGGGCCTGGTTTGCCCTGCTGAAAAGGCTTCCGCTCTTGATAGTGAGGCTTGTTTGGGTAATTCTGTTCTGCAGTGTAGTCTGCCAGGTGGACACCTCCAACAACCAAGATTTTCAAAGCTGCCTGAAGGATTTTGATGCCCTGAAACGAAGGGAAAGGGCTGTCCGAGTCCTCCAGGCTGGGTTTTGTTTGTCTCAGTTGAGAGCATGAAGAATCCTTCCTCCAGCTGAGGAGCTGTTGAAGAATGTTCTTGGCATTGAGCTGTAACAACATGTGGCTTTGAATAACCTCAAGAGTGCATCCTTTTTTGTTTTTGCTTGCTCTGTTCTTCATACTACTAACCTGACTGTGTGTTTTGGTTTTGTGGTTGCTTTGCATGTTGTTCCTTCCTCTTGGCTGAGAGTCATGGGGTGGATCTTTTTCCTTTCTGTGATTCAGGTGCCTCACTCTTTCCTTTCCAGGTTCTTCCAGTTCTTTTAACATGTCAAACTCTGGAGATTTGTTCATGAGCGTGCAGTCTCTCAATGGGGATTCTTACCAAGGGGCCCAGGTTGGAGCCAACGTGCAGTCACAGGTAGGGACCCATCCGATGTACTGCCAGTGAATGCATTAGTGTTGGAGGAGCCTTTGATTGTATTGGCACTTCTCCCTCCCGTCCGAAAAGAGCAAATCTCAACCAGCACAAACGAACCAACCAACACTTAAAAAGGCAAACCAAACCAAAAAAACCAACCTACCAACCAACCAAAAAAAGCAACAGCAACAACCGCCAAAAAAAATCAATCCAAAAGAAACCAAAACCAAACACCCAACCAAACCAACAACCATGGTCTTGAGGAGACTTGCCCACACTTTGTGAATGCATTTGGCTCTGGCTTGATAGTCGTAGGAGGAGGAGAGGAGGTTCAGGAGAACAGGCATGAACTCAAACGAAAGCAGCTGAGGTTTAGGTTCTGCTTGCTTTATTCTTCCAAGGGAAGGGGCCAGATGTTTGGACTGGTGTCTCATTTTACAAGCTTCCACTTACTCCTTTGATGCCAAACCAGGTGTCTACTGAAAGGCGAGAAATGCTCAAATAAACAGCTAGATTTTTTTTATTTTTTTTAATTAAAAGCCACCCCTCATCATCTCCCCACCTCCCCAAAGCACAGGCACTCACACCACCCATGTACACACCAGCAAGAAAGAGCAAGGGAGCTTTGAGCAGCGTTACTGAAACTTCAACCCGTGCTTTGGGCAAAAAGAAAGAATTTAAAATAGCCAGGAACTCACTCAGATCTCCCACCTCCCATCCGATGTCCAGATGTGCCATGAGTCCACTCTCTGGCGTCTAAGGCTCTGTACTGTTTTGAGAGATGACAGCCACTTTGACACTTCTGCATCAGGCAAGGAGAGCTCTCTAAAGCTGAGGTTGCTCCCCTCACAGTGCTGGATGCAGAGCAAGCGTGCCGTCCGTGGGCAACAAGACGTGCTCGCTGCACGTACCGCTGCTGGGGCTGGGCTGGGGGAGTGGAGGGAGAGGAACCGGGTGTCCGGAGGAGAGCTGCCAGTGCCTTTGCCATGGTAGGTATATTCCCTCTCTGGGCCCTCCAAAATGAAGGCGCTTGGCCAGCTCCGAGGATCTTCTTCCACTGCCGTGAGCTTCCCAGTGCTTGGGGCTGAAGGGTTGAAGGGGGGTAGGAACGTGGGTCCTCGAGCATGATGGTGGAGCCGGCGGCAGCGATGTGCTCCAGGAGGTCCCACCCCATGCTTGCCATGCTGTTCTCCCTCTCTGCTCTTTTTGTCAAAAGACTCGGGACCAAGGAAAGCGTGACGGGGCCACCGGGGCAGGCAGGGGGTGGTGAGGGAGGCAGGAGCAGTCCTCTGGCTCAGCTCTCACCACGAGACCAGCTGTGGTTCTCTTTTCCCCCTCTTTAAATATATACCTTTATTATTATTGTTATTATTACTGTTTGTTTTTATCTTGCCAAAGATGAACCGAAGTGGCTTTGCCCACTAACCTTTCATTCACTCTAATTTGTGTCTTTGTTGTCGTTGGTCTGTTTAGGTGGATACCCTTCGCCATGTTATCAGCCAGACAGGAGGATACAGTGACGGACTCGCAGCAAGTCAGATGTATAGTCCGCAGGGCATCAGTGTAAGAAAAAAAAAAAATAGGCTTGGGTTCTTGTTTTATTTTTTTTTTTTTTCATTTTTATTCTCTCACTACCAATTATTTCAAAGCCATAGGGCTCAGAATGCCACTTAGTAGGACTTGTCTTTGCTTTTACGGTCACCTAGTTTATTGCTTCTGTATCGGTCACGCCAACGGCAGAGCTTTGCCCACAAAAAAAGTGGCGACCGGGCAGGCTTTGTGCAGGCAGCTGGCGTCTAGGACTGTCAGAGCCGATCAGCGTTCGTCCGGCACCTGCGGCCACACGTGCTCGGCCGAGAGGAGCTGCTAAACAGGTGACACCTCGCCTAACCGCAGTGGGGAATGTCACCACGAATGCCCCGGTCCAGAGATGGCTCCATGCAGAGGCCAATGGCACCATCCCGGAGCGACCATCTAAAAATAACCCATCCCTGGCCAGCATCTGAAAGCACAGTGGTGATGGGGTTGGCGGCAATAACGGTTGCAAATAAAAGGAGAAAAAAAAAAACAAAGCCAACCAACGTCAACCCAAGAAAACCTCGCCCAACCGGACTCGGGGAGGATGCGAGGGGGAGGGTGGTCTCTGGAGCATCTTCTCCTTGTTCTTGGGTGTGCTGGCGGGTTCTGACTAGCATGAAAATTCATAGCGACAAGCTGTGTCACACAGGGGGAAATCGATCAGACACACACAAGGAGAACCCAGTGTAGATTCGGGACAGCAATCCAACTGCATTTCTCAGATCAATCGTCTGCCATCTCAGCAGCGGTGACAGCAAGCTGGGAGAAGAGGGCAGCCTGGAAAAGGAGGCTGTGAGCGCCGAGTGGGTGGTGGCGGTGGTGTCTGGGGTGGCACGGAGGAGGGGGTGGCTGGCCCTGGATGTGGCTAGCTGCCGCGGTCCCCATCGAGGAGGCTGAAGGTTGAGGTGGGGTGGTCTCGGGCTGGGCAGGAAGGCGGTGGTCCTCTGGATGGGACGGTGGTCCTGCAGCTGAGCACCCTGGTGGGGTGCACCGTCCAGTCCCATCACCCTCCTGGCCGAGGCTTGTGCCATTTGTAACCTTGCGTGTAACCATCTTCAGGCCATCAGCATGTGAGCAGCCACTGCTGGCACAGGGAGAGGGTGCAGGGAAAGGGGTGCAGCAGGATGGGGGGTTGTGCTCCCCTCTCCTGCGGGCGCCAGGGCTTAGCGGGCAGCTTGACGTCAGGAGGCAGAGGCAGGGAGGATTTGTGAAGTAATGTAATTGAACATGTGCAGATAATTATGTCTCATTACATAAGCCCGTTGCAAAAACGGCACTTGGAAATGCCACATGAAAGAGCCTATCGTTCCGCATTAATTTTTCCGTGTGCTGAATTTATTCCCTTTCTGGCTTTTTAATACTTGGAGAGTAAATGAATCGCAGGCTGATCATGATAAGAGATGATACTTTTGTATAAATTAAAATACCCCCAAGGAAAGAGGCTGAGCTGATTATGGTTGCAGTTGGCTTGGAAAATAACAGTGGGCTGGGTTAAGCCAAAATTTGGGGGGGAGGGTTGCTGCCGGAGATTACGAGGCAGGGAGAGGGCAATGGGGGAGAGGAGAAGAAAGAGGTAGTAGAAACTCAAAAGCCGAATAGGACGAGGAGGGCTGGGCTGGTATTTCTGGCTGTGGTACTGGGAGAACCACAGTGCTGTTACCACGAGCAGCACTGGGAACTGGTGGGCTGAGAGCGGCATGGGCTCAGCGGTCCCCCCTGCGCTTTGCAAACGGGGACCCGGGATGGTGGCATCTGATGGCTGCTCAGGCTGGTTTCCTAGGAGGGCAGGAGCCCAAATTGGCCTGAATTGGATGTTGTTCAGACAAGGGCAGGGTGGCAAGTGGGCAAAGGGGCCACCTGGGTTTGGGGGTGACGCCTCGTTTCCCCATAAAGCTGTGGTAGGCATGGGGAGCAAGGCAGGGAGTCCAGAGCTGAGCAAATAGTTTAGGAAGCATCTTCTAGGTTGTCTCTCTGTCCCCGAATGTTTTGCTTCCCCCGTATCCCAGGCAGCATGCTTGTCCCTGTAGCTTTTATTGTCACTTAATGTCTTCCTGTCCAGCTAAGTCCCTTGACAGACCTCAGTTTGTCCACCCCCAAAGTATGGCTGCCCTCCGGGGAGCATTGGTCCTGGGCAAGGTCCTGGAAAGCTGCTCAGTGCAGGCAGGGTGGCTGTCTTGTAGCAGGCAGGGCTTCCCTGCCTCTCCCCTGAACCCTTTAATGCCAAGGACGGGCAGCGGGATGTGGAGGAAAGCTGCTAGTGACACAGAAAGCTGCCATTCCCATGTCACCCTAGCATCCCTGTGAGCTGCTGAAAGGAGATGAGCCAAAACCTAGTTGAGAGCCCTGTCACAAAGATGTCTGCACGGGGCTGAGGTTAAGTCATCCCTGGAGCCCGTCAGAGCTGGGAAGTCAGTGGCAGGTTGCCCAGCTCCACCGCTGCAAACCTTGGCAGGGGAGACAACGCTTGGGGTTTGCCTTCCTTGATGGAGGATGAATTTTTAAATGCGTGTAAGTCATGACAGCTGAGGACAGGAATCTACCCAAAGCTCAGTTCCCTCCGTGGCTCTGCTGCTCGATGGCTGACAGACTGCTCTGCGGGGCGAAAAGGGCTGGAGTCAGTTCTGCATCGTTAGCAGGATAATGGGCGATGTCCCAGCCATCACGATCTCATGACCCGCAGTGATGGCTGAGGCAGAGCAAGAACAGCCGCCTTCTCCTCTGCAGGTGGAGACGGCGTTGGGCAGTGCCGGTCCCAGCAAGGGATGGGGATGCTCTTGGTGATGGAGGGGTGGTAGAGGCAGGAGCCGTCTTGAGGATACCCAGCCTTGGGTGGCACTGATAGGAAGGAGGGACCCCCCCACCTGAAAGGAGGGAATGTTTGGGGCCTGATCCAGCCCTTTTTGCAAGCTTTGAGGTTGAGGGGTTTTGCACCATTAAGTGAGAGGTGTTAAGTGTCTGGTCCCTCTGGACAGTGCTTGTTTGGGGGGGGTCCGCGTGTATACCCAGCCGGAGGTCCCTGAGGCTAGGGCTTTCAAAGCATTTAGATGTCCAGGTTCTGGTGGGTTCCAGTAGAAGTTGAATCTTTATTGCCATAATCCTCTGGAGGGTCCCAACCCAAAACATTGCCCTTCCTGCCGCTGCCCAGTGGCCATAAATCCACAAAGTGTTTTAGTTCCCCCATCTGCTAATGAATGAATGAGCTATAGTAATCTTAAAGAAAAACTCTTTCAGAAATTTCTTTTTGGACTTTATTTAATTTAATTTATAGATCATTTAAAAGTCTAAATTGAGGGGCTATTTTTGAAGTTCATCAGAGTGCAAAGTTTTTGATTTAATACTGCTATTGCGCAGAGCTGTGCCTATTTACAGACCAGTGTGTGTGACCATGGTGGTCGTGGTCAGTGGCAGGTTGTGCCATTGAGTTTTGCAGCCACTCTTGTCAGCGAGGATCACCACGCACTGGTACCTGTAGGAGGTGAGACCTCCTCGCTTGTGCTGAGACCCTTTTCTCTAAGAATTTGAGCCTTGAAAAGAAAGTTGTTGCTCTGCTCCTCAGCAAGCTACGGTTCACCATCATGATTAACCTACGGTTCATGATCATGATCATGAGCTGGGATATGGAAGTTGGTCTGGCAGCGCTTCAGTGCCCAAGCTCCATCCATCAGGGATGCCTTGGTGCGTCCTGAAGACTGCCACTGTGACCCTTGGAAAGTGATGGCCAGACAAGGCTGGATTCTCTGGTGTGTAATAAGAGCTTTAGTGCGTATCATAAGGAGACCCTGATACAAGCTCTTAAAAGCTCAGAGGTCTGAAACCTATTTGAGGCTACTCCCCATCTGTCAGACTTGCTGGTATTTGGTGTGTTTGGAGGCTGACCTGACACCCTGTCCCATCAATGGTGGGACAAGGATTTGGTCACAGAAGGTGGGACGTCGAGACAGCCTCCATGCGAAGCAGAAGATGCCTTTAAAAATTGGCAGAAAGTCATCTCCCAGCCACACGTAGGAGGCCTGGGCAGAGAGCCAACCAGACTTGCTGGAGGTGACAAAAACGCTGTGAGACCTATGGAAATGGGCACCAAAACCAGTTGCTTCAGCAATCCATCACCGGGGCTCCACCACTTGGACAGCCACCAAGGCCTTGCCTGTGCTCTGGCACCAGAAGGTGACGTATGAAGAGATGTCCTGGAGACTATTGCTCTGTCTTGGGCTTCTCCCCCTCCTGAAGAAGTCACAGCTGTGTGCAGGGGCTCCTCAGAGGGTCTGTGAGGAGCAGCAGCCTCCTCAGAAGACTCCTTCATCTTTGAGGGAGATCCCAAGGGATTTACTACAGTCAGATCCCAAGGGATCTCCTTGCTTTGGAAAGAGGCAGGGCCGGCTAGGTGGAATCAGATGCATCCTGCACGTGGCTTGGTCCATGCAGCAATGGGGCGAACTCCAGGAAAGGAGGGATGAGTGTGGATAGTGCCTACATGCCCTCTGCCTGGGGAAGGATCCGGCCTCCTCATGGACAGCTTGTCCGTACTGAAGGATGGCATCAAGATGATAAAGTCATGGCCAGCCTTGAGGCCTCCTTTCCATTGCTTGACCCGTAACTTGGGGCCTTCCCAGGCTGGGGGATCAGGAGGGTGTGGGGTATGTGGAGGGTGCCACAGTCCGGGTCAGCCTCTCCCCAACATCCTCTTGTCTGTCCACTGGATGCCACTGAGGTGGTCATTGGCAACACAAACTCCTGCAACACATGAAGGCTGATTCCCAATCTCGAGTGCAATGGGGGTCCCCAGCATTTTGGGGGGCACCGCAATCGCTGTCTGCAAGACACTCTCCCTCTCGCTCCTTCCAACCACGGCTGGCACACAAAAGCCTCGCTAAAAATAGTTGAGCACAACAGGGATGGAGCCCTGCTCTGCACGGCCCCCTCCACTCTCCCCCCTCCTGCTCGCCGTAATGACCCTGCAAACACTAAATGGCATCTGAGTGCATTAAGCAGCAAACTCTCCGGTGACATAGCAATTACGGCTCTGAAATAGATTTGGTGCGTCACGGAAGATAAGGGTTTTGAAAGTTTCTGTTGTGATTATAGCTTGTAACTCCAACAAATAACAGGCTTGGTAATAAGAGGCTGCCAGCACAGCTATTGTGGTTCTCTCTCACTGATGGCACGTAAATTGCTATTAATGTCCTAAGTGTACTTGAATATGCCAGTCTCAGGGCGGTGGAGTTGGCTCTGTGTCTCTCTTTACGTGGCCTGTCATTGTCGGGCTGATGATCTACAGTAATTGCTGCCTCTTGCAGCGGTCCAAGACGTGTAAGGGTGGGTATTGCATCTCGGGGAGCGCAGGGACGGTGGGTTGGGGCCCAGGTGTGGATGGAAGCTGGCGGGGGTGGTGGGCACGGCAAGCCCAGGGTCTCTGCAGGCGGGGGGCATGCGGGGCTGGTAATGTTTGTGCATAGTCTGGTTTCATGGTTGCACCCAAGGTGAAGTAGAACGGGATTTGCTAACCTGCTAGCAAGCTCAGGTCACGGTTCCTGTCTTCCTTGCTGTTGCCTGAACCCCTTTGCACCCACCTGCACATGGAAGAACAAACAAGCCTGTTGTGTGTGTGCACACCTCTGTCTTCTCTGCTTTGTGCGTGTCCCACTGCGAGGTGTTTTCATATCTCAAAATGTGGGTTCCCACGGCTCGCCTGTGGTCAGCTCTTTGCTCCCATCTCGGCTGCCTCTAGGGCAGGCAGGAGCTGGTCAACAGCATGGACAACCCGCTGGCAAGTCCCGGAAGGCTGCTCAGTGCCTTGGGGCGATGAGGCTTTTCCTACCCTTACCCCACTTTGGGGGTCTGCAGGGTCCCGGCAAGCAGGGACTGTCGGGGGCCAGTGATGAATGCCCTGCACTGGAGGCAGCGGGATGGGCACATCTAACACTCAAATGTGGGCAGGAGTTGGGAAGGATTAATTAGCTGAGCACTGAATCAATGTCAGAGTGAGCAGAGGAGGTTGGGTGCGACATCTGCTCCTCTCTGAAGGGGATGGCAGCCGCAGAGGAGCAGCTTCTGTGCGCTGCTGGCTCCTGCCTGCGGCAGCCAGGGCCCTCTGGGTAGCTCTGCCCTTGAGAGGCTGGAGAATTTGGCTCTGCGTCTGTTTTTAGGAGGAGAAATGAGTTGCCCACCCTGCTTTGCTGTACGAATCCTTGGATGGGCTATGGTGGTGGCACCTCCATTACTCTGTGGCTTGGGGTCCCTCGAGGAGGGGTGATGGGGGGCGCAGAGGACCAGCCCCCGGCCGGCAAAAATTTGCTTGTGGTTTTACTGCAAAACAAGGAAGGGAACGCTCTGCATTGGGAGCAGAGGGGTGGCCCAAATCCCCAAATGTGGTCTTCACGGTGGCAGGAGAGGTGTGTGGGCAGCGTGTCTTCCCCACGACAAGGCTTGGTACTGATGGCTTCCCCACACACAGGGACTGTGCAGGAGGAGGGGTGCCCGGAAAGGTGGCAAGGGAGACATGGAGCGATGCTGGGGGACACGGTATGGCTCAGAGGTCCCTTGGGACCCATCGCTTGTTCTGCGTGTTCATAGCACCTAGGTCCAGATGATGTCTGAGAGTGGGGTTTCTGGAGTGAGGTGTTTGCTATTTTCCTCCTTCCATATGGGGAAGGGTCCTATTTGGGGGTAAAAAAAAATCCAAACCACCAGAGTTCAGGGTTTCTGCAGAAAAATATATTTTTTTGAAGGACAGAATTTCCGTGAGCACTTGCAATTTATCAAAACCCTTGTTTTCGACAGAACTGGCCCCATCCCACTGATGGAGCCCTGCAGTTTGTGGTGGCATGGGGGAGCCAGAGGGGACATCTTTGCCTCCTACATCGACCTCTGCCGAGGGAGAAGCAGGCGGGTCCGAGGCAGATGGGTAGCTTGGGTAGGGCTGGGCGTGCCGTTGGGTGACTAACATCTCTGTGTCCCTTCCTGCAGGCTAATGGAGGTTGGCAAGACGCTACTACCCCGTCGTCGGTGACCTCCCCCACAGAAGGCCCTGGCAGCGTTCACTCTGATACCTCCAACTGATCTCCCAGCAAATTGCATCCCTGGCTGAGCCGGCCCCGGCGGGGGCGGGAGGGGAGGGGGCCTCTCCTAACACCGCAGCAGTCAGACTGGAGGTGAACCCAATCAGCACACACAAGAAGACTCCTTCTCTTCTCTTCTCTTCGTCGGGATGCTTTTTTCAGCCAATCTGGACACTTCTTTATACTCTCTTCCCTTTCTTTTCTGGGTAGAAGCCGCTCTCCCCCTCCCTGCCACCGCCACAACACCACTCCCTTCCCCTCACCCCTTCCCACCGAAAGATGTGTCGACAGGTAGAAGGATTTTAAGGAGGAAAAGCAAAAATCAACTGCCACCACACGAAACAACCCCAAAGCAGTGTACGGCCTCACGCTGGGCATCTTTCTGAGGAGCCACAAACGTACCTCAGTCACGTCTCGCTCCTTTACTAGCAGGCAGCCCCTCTCGCCCCCCCATCTCTCACGCTACCTCTCCATAGGGGCTCCCTTCCCCACCCCTTCCCACCGAAAGATGTGTCGACAGGTAGAAGGATTTTAAGGAGGAAAAGCAAAAATCAACTGCCACCACACGAAACAACCCCAAAGCAGTGTACGGCCTCACGCTGGGCATCTTTCTGAGGAGCCACAAACGTACCTCAGTCACGTCTCGCTCCTTTACTAGCAGGCAGCCCCTCTCGCCCCCCCATCTCTCACGCTACCTCTCCATAGGGGAACATCACCGCAGCCCCGCTGCCGCCTCGTCTCCGCTGGCCCTGGCCGCAGCCAGCACATCGCCTCCCCGTGCCCAGCCCTGCCTTGGTCAGCTGTCCATCGGGCACTGCCGGTGATGGGGCGGGTGGATGCAGCCCCCTGTGCACGTAGGAGAAGGAGCCGGCGTGCTCTTTGTCGCTTCCAAAAGGTACCGGCCCATTCCCAGCCCCGGGGAAACTGCCAGTACTTCCCGGTCCCTGCCCTGCTCCACCGCACATCCCAAAGCTGGATGAGCCATGAAACCCCGCCATCCTCCCTGCTCGCTGTTGAAGGGGAGGAGAGGAGGGAAGGAAACGAGGCAGAGGTGGACAAGAAATGGCCATCGCTGATGACGAAGGCACTGAGCACCTCTGCGGTCTTGTACGGGATCAGGTGTAGATGGTTGATGGGACCCCAGCAGTTCTCTCACAGCACCTAGGGAGGCCAGCGGTAGAGTTTTTCTGGCAAGGAGAGTGTCACAGTGTGTTGGCTTGTGTTTTTGGGAGTGTGCCATGCTGCGGAAGAGGAGGAGGTGGGTTCCCCAGTGCAGGCAGGACCCACAGAGGTTGGTGGCACCCACTGCGTTCCCAAAGCCCTGCCAGGCAGGCAGCAAGGGACAGGCAGCAGGATCCCAGGGGCTGGATGCGGTGGGGTGAGCACGTTGGGTGCTTTTGGTAACGGTTAATGCAACAGGTTTGCTTGAGGGTGAAGGCTCTGCAAGATGGGTGGATGCCCTGCTTGGGGATGTCTTTCAACTGACGCTGCTGGTTTTACTGGGGGAGTGGCATTCCAAGTCACGGGAGCACTCGTGGGGTTTCTGGTCCGCTTTTTGGACAAGTGGTGACGGGTGGTAAGCAAAGCTTTGTCCTGCTGAAACACCCCTTCGAGCAGCCGACGTTGGGAGGACACGGCTTTTGTTGAAGAGCGGGGTGCAGAGGCGCACCAGTTTGCCGTGGGGAACGGGCTGAGCTTTGTGCCGGAGTGGTACTTTTGGCCGCCGATTCTTCCAGCAGGTGCGAGGAGGCTGAGCCAGCCCACGGCAAGACCCTGAGTGTTGTGGGCATCAGTGTGGGTGCAGCATGTCTGACACCTTGTGATGGATCCAAATACCTCTTGGCCGCATCTCATCCTCTTGTACATCCATGCCCACCCTGCCCGTGTTGGTGCCAGCCATCTCGAGATGGGAACTGCCCGCGCAGAGCAGCGTTAAGCAGGAACCATTTAAAATTAAAGCTCTGCCAGAAAAATTTCCACCTTTCTGCTGGAAAAAATAATGGTGGTTGGTCTGTAGGCCCAACTCCTGCCCATGGCTCCGACATGCTGTCACCTTGCGGTGTGGGGCCAGCAGCGTGACTCGCCTGAAGTGGAAGTGAAGCCTGCCTTTCCCTGGGGAACAAGCCCAAAAGGCTCCAAAGCATCTGCTCAGAAATTTGTGACCTTCCCCCAAATACGAAAAGACCCAATTCGGTGGATTTTTTGTTTCTGAGCTGGTGGGATCAGAGTAGAACAGAAAAGGTGGATGAGAAACAGCACAAGCTGCTCCTTGCTTAGTCCTTGTGTCTCCAGCGGTGAGACCCTTTCTGCTTCTCCTTTCGCATCCGTGCCTGGGGACAGGGACCGTGCTGCAGAGCGTGATGCGATGTGCGAGGTCTAGGGCTGCCTCCCAGCTGGGAATATGTTAAGAGCAACAAGAAGGTTGTTTCCCCGCGAGGACGGTTAGGAGGTGCTGCCCATCTTTCTGAGCTGCGCACCTTCCCACTCTCCTCCTCTTCCTCCTGTGGCCTCCCCCAGTGCAGCCTTTTAACCATTTCCAGCTTATTTTACATGAAACTGTTCCAGCAAAGCATTTCAGGGACATGGGACTGGGTCAGGTCTGTTCTCCGGAGCGGCAGCGGTGCCGTGTCTGCGGGAATGCCACAGTACCTCTTGGAAACCAACCAGGGATGAGCCAAAACCACCCGCTTACTGGAGCCAGCCCGTGCCGGGGCTGCCTTCCCCTGCCCTGCAACTGCTGCCCCTCCTGTCTGCACCCCCTGCCCGTGGCACCCCCTGCCCGGGCAGGGCACTTGCTCCTCCACGGTACTTTGCAAATCACCTCCTGGGTTCCCCGGTTTGTCCCTCCGGTTCACGTTGGCGTAGCTGCTCGCTTGCCTTTTTCTTTGCTTTTTTATTTTGGGTTTTGTTTCTCTTCTCCTTCCCCCCCGCTCAACTCCAAGTGTTGTGGGTTTTTTTCTTCTTTTTTTTTTATTTTTATTTTTTCTGCCCAGAAAAACCTGACTTCGATACCAAAAAAACAAAACAAAAAAACAAAAAACAAACAAAAAAACCTGCAGAAACTCAAAAAAAATAAAAACAAAAAAACCACAAAAAAAACTCGACGACTCTTTCAGCTTTATTAACATTTTCCATTGTTTCTTGCGATTTGTGTCTCGTTCTTTGTAGTATTGATGATAACGAACATTTGATAATGAATGTTCTTGTATATTCAGATAAAGGAGAAAAAAAAAAAACCAAAAAAAAAAACCAAAAACGCAGCCGGAATTTAATAGTGTTTATAATAAAAGAATAAAAAATGACCCTCTTAGCACGCAAAATTGAACAGGGAGATGGTCCCGTCCCTGTTCTTTCTGTGGCAACAAGCGCTTCATTCCTGTATAGTTTATAACATCAAACTACCTACATTCATCTTCTTTTTTTTGTTGTTTGTTTTTGCCATGGTTTGGTTTTTTTTTTTTTCCATTTTCTCGCATTTGTGAATTAGTTCAAGAATGCTAGAAAAGTGTAGAGTTGTGCACACTCATTTCTTCTTACACAATGTTTAAAAAGTGACGGTAATTCATTTTGTAAAACTTTAAAAAGAAAAAAAATGGTTGGAATAGTGAGCATTAATAGGTACAGTCTAACACTTTATGTTTCTTAACGTTGAGACCCAGAAATTACCTTTTATTTTATTATTTTGGCATTATTTGGGAGGGGAGGGGGGGCTTTGATGATGATGCTGAGTTTATTTTGACCTGTCCGAGACGACGGCCTTGCCGCTTTCTCTGCGCTTTTGGGCTGTGACCCAAGTGATGTGAAAAGTGATGGTGGTGGTTTTGGGGGGGGTGTTTCTCTTTTCTGGGATGGGGGGGTCCCCACTCATTTTGACACCCAACCCCAGAAGATCTTGGGTGGCTGCTCTGGGGCTGAGCAGGGAGATTACGTCTCCGGAGAGGGACTTAATCCCGAGGGGTTTTGGGGAAGAAATGCTGAGGGGTGACGGGGAGTCGGGTGCTGAGCCCCTGTGGGTCTCCATGCCTGGGGGCGAAGCTGGGCTGCCTGGAAGTGATGAAAGGGCATGAATCCTCCCCAAAATGCATAGGCAGTGGTGGGCTTCAATGCCATTGTGCTCTGCCCCGAATCCCCGTGACACCCTTGCCCCGAGGGTTTGCTGCAAGAGCCCTGGCTTGGAGGCACCCATCAGCCCAACCACAGCTCTTGGCCCCAAAATGACGGGTTTGGAGCAAAGAAGGCACCAACCTGATTTCGACCATGGACCTCGTTGAGGATGGAGTCCCACAGTCTGGCCCCAAGCCCCAGCTGCACAGGGGCGCTGGGAAGGATGAGGGACAAGGGATGGCATGCGGCAGCCCCCCAGCCATGGTGGGACATGGCCAAAATGCTCCCAAATATAGCCCGAAATCTCGGTGGCTGCAGAGTGGGGTTCAAGGAGAAGCGCTGAGGAGGACGCCGGTTGGCATCGCTTTAGTTTTCTCTTAAAACAATTTCCCTGCTCCACTCCGCCAAAAAAAAACCTGAGCTTTTCACATCACTCAGTGGTTTAGGGTTTGGGGTGGTTTTTTTAATCCCAAGGTTTCCTGGAGTCCTTTTGTTTTCATACACCTTTATTATTATTATTATTATTATTATTATTATTATGACGATGTAAATCAGATGTTGCCTGGGGGGGTGGTTTTGTCGGTTTGCTTTTTTGTTCTTGCAAAGCCCTTTCTATCCCTTGTAAAGATGATCCAGTTGTTCTGAGTTGCTTTTTCTTTTCTATTTTTTTCCCGTCTTTTTTTTCTCTTCCTAATGGATTCCAAATATGTAAAAAAAAAAAAAACCTACAAAAAAAAGACTCTCTGTTCCGACCTGGTTTTGAAACTTTAAGCTTTTCTGCTTCTGTAAAGAAAAACAAAGGCCTCTGTCTTTCTGATCCCAATTGAGACTTTTATGTTCTATGACGATACTAACAAGGTGTAGGTTTTACAGTTTCCTGATTTGTACTGGTAATGCATATTCCAAATAAATAGTTTCTTTTGTTGCAAAAAAAAAAACAAACCTTAAACCAAACCTGGCGTATTTTTTGGGAGGAAAAAGAAGAAAGCAAGATGCCCTGGGGGCTTCCCCCATGGGGATGCAGGGAGCAGGAAGGGTTTGGGGTGCAGCGGGGGGGTGAGCAGAGGCAATAGCCCAGCGCTCAGTCCTATTCCTGGTGGTGGGAGCTTGGGAGCCGGAGGGATGCGATTCAGGGCTGATGCCCGATGCGCAGCATCCCCGCTACTGACGGCGCCTCGCCCCGCACCTCAGTTTCCCTGAGGACATGGATTTGTCCACACAAAAGGCATTTTCAGTCTTTCATTTTCATTGCTTGTTCGCTGCTTTTTTGGACTTTTTAGTGTGCTTCTTTCCAAAAAAACTAGAATGGGGATTTTCTTTATCACACCCAGGGATGGGGCAGGGCTGGGGAGCAGGGGAAGGGTTG